GACCATATCCATGACATTTCTGACAAAACAAGACTTTTGGCGTGCTAAAAAATTCTTTGATCTTGAATTCAAAATGATCTAGACTAATCTTACCAATTTCTTTACATCTGTCATATTCTGTAGAATTACGAAAGTCTAATCTAACATGTACACTTGTTATCGATTTATACGTTGGTTGACTAGCGGCTGTAACAATCGATGGATAAATTCTTTGAACATCTTGTCTTAATTCATCTATATTAGTGCCAGACGGAACGCCTAACATTAAGAGAGATAACTGTGGGGGTATTTTACGAGGCCATTCAATTTCAAATTTCTGATTATCTAGTAGCCTGGGAAATATCCTTTCGTCTAATAGACGAGGATATTCTGAGCTTGAAAAAAGAAATTCAAAATCAGAATACCCTAGAAGAAAAAAGAGCGGAAACGATACTAAAAAATTTTCAGAATCAAATTTTTTCTGCCAGAATTAGCATCATATATATGTTTAGAGCGAAAGTATAATTCCTTTAAAATAACATTAGAGATTTGACGTTTTGCAAGGAACTGACCAAACCTTGTAAACAAAATTCACTACCGTGTACAACTCTATCTGATTTTAAAAGTTCTGCGCAGCTAAAATTTATATATACGGAGATAAATCATATTATTCAAAATTTGTCAGAAATTAAAAATTAATTTTTCGTCTCAGGTCCTAATTTCAATGGCATTTAGTACACAAAAACTGTACGAGAAAAAGGTCACTCTTTTGCGCCTTTGTACAGGTTCTCAACGTTATAACATCATAAAAAGCGATTTTGAACAAAAAAGTATTTTCAGACACCAAAACATCAGCACAAAAATATTTCGTAAGGCTGAAACTTTGAGATCATATTGCGACCAGAGTGGCCAGATGTCTGCATTTGGAGTTTTTTCCGTAATTTGTCCGCTGTCCGCATTTTCTGCTTTTGCTGTTTTTCTCCCGAGTTAAAAACTTGTTTAAATTCATCGTTATGATGCACTAAAATTAATAATTATTTCTTATCAACGCCAGATCTGCTTAAACTTATTCGTTCTGATCAAAAACATACAGTCAAAAAAAAAACCAGTGTCAATTGAAATCGAGATTTACATTTCTGTTCGTTGTTCTCTTGTGTTTTATTGAGTAAAACCACAAAATGATAAAGAAAACATATTTTGACTCTCTGCGCGTGAAAACGGATGAAGTTAGACCATGAAAATACGTTTCCGTTTTTTGTCCGCATTTCGACAAAAAATTTCCACATTTTGGCATTTTTATTCCTCATTTCTGACCTGAGCATCTGGCAACTCTGATTGCGACGAGCCATAGCAGAAAAACAGACCTTCCAAAAAGTGATCTTCACAAGTATATGATAACAAAATTTTAGATGTAAGAATTCAGATCCTTTCTTAGGATAGCAGGTTACATTATATTTTACTCGGACTTTTCTTCGAGAACATGATGTAATCAGTTCAGGAAACAGCAGCAGATATAAACTACAAAAAGTAGGCAGAGCAGTGATCTTCACCAGTATATTATAACAAAATAAGAAGTGCTTTTTATAATGGACATTCTGTTTAGTATTTAGATGAAAATGAATATATCCCATATTCATCTGATATATATCCTTTTCTAGTGTACAGGGGACAGAACAAAAGAAAAGACATGCGTCTGGAAATTTTTGCTTTCATGTCCTTTCGTAGTTTCCAAAGCCACTTACTTTTTCTTCAAAATTTCGACACCAGTAACAAAGACAAAGTTCTCATCTGTTTAAAATCTGGTCTCGTCTACGAAGCTGGTTGTCGAGCTCAACGTGTTAAAAAGTTATGTAAAGAAACTAATGTACACGCTTTGCCGGACAAAAATGAACTCATTTAGAGTGTGAGCATTAGTCAGAAAATACCACAGTAAACGGACAAAGCAGATCTACAACAGCACATTGAAGTATCAGAATGAAATAGCTAAAGCCAAGAGAGAGAAATGCGAAATGTTCGCAAGATATTTTGAAACAGAGGTCTATCAATTCACACCAGGCCACCTCCCTTTTCATAATCACATCACCAACACTGTAGAAAAGATCAGAAAGAGTTACAAACAACCGCAGAGAAATGCTCCTCCTATTACAGAAAGAGAACTGAAAAATGTCTTGAAGTCTCTCGGCAACACAAGCTCGGGGCCAGACAACATACATAATCGCTGCCTTCGAAATCATACATCGTCTCTAATCCAACATCTTCTTCGCCTCTTTGATGATAGTCAGATTGGGTACGTTCCATCGGATTGAAAGAAGGCTTATATCTTTCTTCTTTTAACGCCAGGCAAGGATAAAGGAGATGTGAAAAGCTATAGACCAATAAACATGTTATCATGCATGGGGAAAACTCTAGAGAAAATTATCAAACAACGCCTGATGTTGGATTTGGAACCCAAAAATATCTTACCCATGCATCAAGCAGGCTTCAGACAGAAGAAAAGCACCCTTTACAATGTCCTTCGCCTCGAAAATCATGTTCGTTCAAGTCTCTCAAAGCGTCGCCACTCTGCTGTTGTTTTGTTTGATATTAAAGCCGCTTTTGACTCGGTATGGATAGACGGCCTTCTATATAAAATGAATGATCTCAAACTCCCCAAATATCTAATAAAGTGGGTTATATCATTCTTGGAAAATCGATCGGTCTACGTAGAACTAGAAAATGTACTTTCCAAACCATTTAAAATGAAACGAGGAACACCTCAAGGTTCTCCTCTCTCTCCACTACTCTATATTCTCTTCATCTATGATTCTGTCAACGAAAATTCAAAACACTGTGAATACGGATTATATGCGGACGATACGCAATTTTATTCATCATCAAATACCCTCACAAACTTAAAGAAGCCTACAACAAGCTACAGATGAATTTCAAGTATGGTGCAACTCGTGGAAATTAGACTTAAATCCTACAAAAAACTGAACTAGTTCACTTCTCTGCTCATCCGAAAAAACGGTATGAAAATCCTCTAAAAATCCAAGTTGGAAACTCCGTCATCGCTCCACAGAACTCATCATTCCCTTAACTTTAGTAAAGGCTATATAAACCAAAAAAATGTTAGCAAATTTCTCTTGAAAAAATGTGTCTTAGATACAGGCTATAAGAATTAGCTGGTTTCATAATGTCGTTTATAACTTGTCAAATATTTTAAAAATTAAAATTTCGATTTGGCGCAAGAATTAATATTTCTAATCCTGCTCGAAATAAATTGTATATTTAAAGAAAATCTCTGTTACTGACACTCAGATTTGAACGCGACGCCTACTATTATACTTATTAGTAGTGTATGGTAAAAATGAAGAGGCAACATTTATTGGCATTATAATGTTAGATAGTTGAAAATATGTCAGGTATAAAACGGAAATTAAAGGATGCAAATGAGGATGTGACCAATGTATCTAACCTACAACCGTCATATTCGACATCCACATCTGTTTCCCTACGCCGTGTCTGTAATGCTCAACGACTGATGGTCTCAGATAATATCATTTGTGGTGCATCATCTTTTGCGAGGGCTGTCAAATTATCATTGTACAGTATAACCATGAAGTGAACGAGAAACTTCAAAACCTCAGAATTCAAGAATTTCAAACTTATCCTTATACCGTGTGCGATAGTCACTCTTATAGAAAATGCTAGAATTTCAGAATCTCAGAATTTCAGAATTTCAAACTTATCCTTATACAGTGTGCGATAGCCGCAGCAACGAACGAAGTTTGTACTAGGCTTCTAGAAAACCTTTTTTCACCAACTGATCTAGAAAGCACTGAGCGATAGAAAAATGAATTTCCTACAATATGACACACTCTTGTAGTGTGCGAGATGTTTTGGTGCTAAAAAGCTGGACTGCATCTGTAATACGTATGATCTCACGGCCAAGGAAAAAAAGTGCTTCCTTTCGTGGTTCTTAGACGTTTTTTTTCGGCAGTTTTTCCTTGCCTTGAATACATTGCAAAAGAACTGTAATCAATAATTATCTATTCAAAGTTAATTTGAGCACGGGCTTTTGAAAATACACTACATTAGTGATTTAAATAGATGCAGAGTCTGTGCATGTATTCAAATCATTAGCGCAATCTAAGTGTATTTTCAAAAGCCCCTGCATAATTATTGATTACAGTTCTTTTGCAATGTATTCAAGGCAAGGAAAAACTGCCGAAAAAAAACATCTGAGGTCGTAGCAGCAGCATCCCTTGGCCGTTAGATCAGTATTTTTTAATGGAAAGTGCTATTTTTCGGGATTTTCACGTCTGAGAACATACTGAAAATTGTGTCATTTTGTAGGACATTCATTTTTGGAGGACAAAAATTTCAAAAATAGCAACCCATAGTTTTTCCCGAGTGCATCGAATGAGGTAAGAAACTCAGCTTCATCTCTTAACCCAAAAAATTAGATAGGTTTAGAAAGTGACGCAAACCCTAGTGAAACTTCTTGTAACCAAGATCTTGACTTCTTGAATTTTTTCAGTAAGATCTTGATTCAAGATCTTGGTAAGAAAATATAAGAATTCAAGAAATTTCAAGA